TTTCGGGAATCAGTCGTGTGACTAGCTGGTTCATTTCTTCAACGATGCATCATACTATGGTAGTTAAGCAACGAGTTACATCGTTGTGCGGGAAACGCACCCCAGAGCAGTTGTGTATCGCCTGAAATGAGTACACTAATATTTCGGTCCCTAGATATGGCCTTATTCAATGTGCGTCTGTGGGATTTTCATCTGTTTTATCATCAAGCGGGTGTAAATAGTAACAGCACACCTAGATTCCCAAATCTCACAGCCCATATTTGCTAATATATAGTCAAAATAAACCAGACCAGTGATTTTCATTACGAATGCATTGTATTTTGCATATTGTTTTAATTAATGATGAAACACGATCATTAATTCAAACGATAACAGCTTTTGTTTTATACATAACATTTCTTTAACATATACTATACATTTTGTCTAGAAACAGTTTGACATGTAAAGTTCCTAAAATAAACTTTTGTTACTTGCGTGTACAGAGAATCGTCCTCCCTGTCGGACGGCGTTTCACCGCTTGGTGGTTTGGCAATGCAGAGGAAGTAAAGGCAAACACTTCCTGTTCTCTCTCTGAGTCTCACATGTTTTGTGCTTTGGCTGTGTGCAAGAAAAGAGTGAAACGTTCCAAAGAACAGAAATTCAAGCAACAAATGTCATATCGGTCCAGTTCAAGATGATCAAACCCACTTTCACTTTCCGGTCCAAGATTCCCCCAAGTAAATGTCTTATGGTGGATGGTGTCAGAAAGAGCAGAGACTCAAAAGCCATCTTCTCATGTTAAGGTCTTTACACATCTCAACATAAATATACTCTTCTGTGTTTGAATCGTATCTTATTATAAAACTAACATCAAGTTAAACTTGTGCACATGTGAGTTATTATCAGGCTCAGACAGAATCTGTGGGCCCATTGGAAAAATTTACCTGTGGCAACATTTCGGCAAAATGCTAAATATGTACCAATACATACATCGCTGCAGAACAGAAATCTAACAGAAATGAACATTAGAGACAGTAAAACAGCAATCACTTTTAATCATTTTCATACAAAATTATGATTACAGGGGCAGATTATGGATCAATAAAGACTTTTCGGTAACACTTTACTTGAAGGGGTGTGCATAAGACTAACATGACACCTTCATAATCATGACATGACATGTTATGAATATGAAGGAAGTTGTATGCATGTTTATGACAACTGTCATTAAGTGTCATTTGCTCAATTATGACATTTTTAATGCAAATATGACATTGTTTGAAATGTCTTTGTTATGACACCTTGACATAAGCAAATACATCATAACCTGTCAGTGTCTTTGTCATGACAACTTGACATTACTAAGACAACACAACCTGTCATAAACATGACCTAGCAGATTAATTATCAAACTTAAGAAACCACTTAGCTTAATTGGTGAAAATTACATTAAACTGTCATGTGTTTGGTTTTGACATTGGCTGTCATGAAGCCATTATAACTTTTTAATGACAAATTCAATTTGTACCACTGTAGTTGAGGTCACGAAAAATATTCATGACACAGTTATAATGGCCTCATGACAGCCAGTGTCAAAACCAACCACATGACAGTTTAACTTAATTTAATGTCAAGTTGTCATGACAAAGACAGGTTATGATGTTATGGTTTATGTCAAGTTGTCATAACACAGACATCTTAAAGGGGTCATATAATGCCATTTTTGTACAAGCTAATATGATTCTTTAGGGTCTAAATTAAAAGTTTGTAATATACTTTAATTAAAAATTCTCATTAGTATTGTAAGAAAACACTTATTTTACCTGGTCAAAAACAGCTCTGTTTTCAGCACGCCGTTTCAGTGCATATGCCTTTAAATGATAATGAGCTTTGCTCACCCCGCCCCTCTGTTCTGTGCGTACACGTTTGTAACACAATACCATAACTTGTTGTTCATAATAAACGTGGGATTATGAATTATATGGAGAACGTCGTACATAGAAAACATGCAGTAATGTACCCTGAGTGTAAACCTTAGACTCATTCATCGTGAAGCGATTTGCAAAGATATAAATATTAATATAAAGTTTAATAAAACGTTACACTCACTTCAGTTGTTCTAGAGGTTCAGCAGGAACACGAATATCTGGTACCGATTCTTTATTCAGGAGCAGCTGCTTAGCAAAACCAGCTTTATACTGACCCTCGTTTATAAAGCAGTCCACTGAGAAATGATTCGCGCAAACATGAAAGCATTGACGTTGCTCTTGGGGAATATTCCCTTCGAAAACAAACTCAACCACTGCGTCTTCAGCGGTTCGGATTTAGGAACATTAAAATGACTGCTGTGTTCGTTATTACACCCAAGAACAGAACACCACAATCGCTTAGACGCCATTCTGCTCATAGACAGTGCTCCAGCATATCAACAATGACCGCGCCGGTCCGCGCGGACTATGATTGACAGGTCTGTGTTGAAACGCGCCTATCAATCAACAATCGCGGGAGGGGCGTCCGACCGTGTGACGTCACACGGTCGAACGGCTTGATTTGAGACAGGGGAAAACATATAAGGAGATTAAAACAAAACCACTGGATGGATTTTTATCATTCTATGATGGTTGTGTACAGCCACTGCCAACACACATTTCAGTACAATCAACTTGAAAAGTGCATGTACCATTATATGACCCCTTTAAACAATGTCATATTTGCATTCAAAATGTCATTATTGAGCGAAAAACAATTAATGACAGTTGTCATAAACATGCATAAACCCTACCTTCATATTCATGACATATGTCATGTCATGGTTATGAAGGTGTCATGTCAGTCTTATGCACACCCCTTCAAGTAAAGTGTTACCGACTTTTCATTTGGTTTCTTGCTAAATATTATGACCTTAAAACACTTGATCAAATGTGGCAAGCAGGGCGGGGACAAGAGCCGTGGGAACGGAGTGAGGCCGGTGGTGCAAGAGTTAATGAGCGTCACCTGCGCGCCACACCGGTCTCGAGTCCCACGGAGGAGCTCCGGAAGGATAAAAGGAGGAGTGACGACAGTGCAAGACGAGAGAGGACCAGGCCTGGGACATGTATGTTGTGTTTTATTATGTCACCCTCACTGACGACAGCTGCTTTACTTTCATTTTGTTGTTTGTTTAGTTTGTCATTAAAGTTACGTTCATTCCCGCCTCCTCCTTCCCTGAGCCTTTAAACATTGCTACACCATACATCGTTTACAAATCATGCACTAATACATTTTGGAGTTCACGTAACTAGCTTCATATGTTTGGCTTTTCTGACATACTAAGCTTGCTTGGTAGCTCAGCTGGTACTTCCGAAGCGGAACGCTTGGGTGCGAATTCTGTGAAACACGAGTTACGACAAAAGAGCTCAAAGACTTATAGAAACAAGCTAAAATGGCACGGTTTTTAAAAACTGCGTTTTTATGTCACATTTGCTTTTGTTAACACTATCGGGTAGGTTTACAGTTTAATGTAGGTGTACGTTATTTTAAAAAGCGATGGAGCATTAACCTTTAAGCGTCACTTACTGGACATTTCAATTCAGAACTACGGTGATACGTACAAAACCAACGTAATAAAACATTGCCAGTTTCACTTAGCCCCAAACATTTAGCTGGGGATTTCACTTTAAAACTGTTGTGAAACGTGCACAATGCGATGTATTATCATTTTGCAGAAATGTTGCCACAGGTTTGCTTTTGGGCTGGGCTGGAATCTGCCCCACATACCCCACAGTTTTTAAAGTCAACATCAAACACCATTGGCAACCCATTTTACCTCCATGATGTGACACTTTACATACTGAAACCAAATGAGAAAAATAGAAATAGGACTTGATTTCATCCCTCGGGAACTGGACGGCTGGTGAATAATTGAGCCAGGTGGTTGGAATGGAGGACTTGCAGAGAAGATATCTTGCATTATGTTTATTTATGTTTACTTTCCCTGTTGCCTTTTGTTTTTTTTTCTTGTTTTAAGGATAAACCTTCCTAAATTAAGTTGGATTTTGGCTTAAAACAGGATAAAACAACTTTCCAATGGGGGAAGGAAAGTAAACTTAATTCAAGAAGATACCGTAAAAATACCGTTTTTGTTTTTTTTTACTTATGAAATTTTGCTTTTCAAGTCCCTTTAGATGTTATATGTTTATATTGAAAAACAAGATAAAGTAGTGATTTATTGCAGTATAATGACGTCAACAGAAAAGTAAAGTAGTGTCAGAGGTCGTTTCAAGTTATTCCCTTTTGATGAAAGATGACAAGACATTTCTCATTATAGTAACGTGTCCTTGTGAATCATTCACTATAAAAATCAATCAATCTTGGTTTCAAATTGACTTCAAATCCATTCCACAGATTCCCCAAAGAACATATTCTCTCCAGGCCTGGTTATAATTGACCCCTCGCCAGCCCTACCTTAGCAACTGTTGCTGTGTACCATATAATCAGACAAGCTTTTGTTCCATTCTAATGTAAGTGTTTGAATAGTTTTAAATTAATTTTTTAAATCATTAAATAAACCTTGAGTAATAAATTAAACTCATTTCCAAATCAACATCTAGAACACCAGAAAAAAAAACATAAGATAATCTTAAGTTTTGAATTTAGAATTTTTTAACTACATATCTAAAGAAAATCTTAAAACAAGATAAATCTTCTTAAGAAATATATAGGTAAATACTGTATGTGTTCTGTGTTCTGTCTTCTTACTTTACTTCTGTTTGCAATGCACTGGCAGATTTAGCTTCTTTAGTAAATGTATCTGGTATCAACCATCCAGATTTTTAATTATTTTAACTGGAAAGCAAGTCAAAATACTAATCAAGAATCGTGTTTTTTACAGTGTACTGTTGTTCCAATATGAATGCATGTTTCTTACTTAAATGCCATCTCATATATTGATTTCATAGCGGTTCTGTTCACTTATACTAATGTGATCAGCTGTAATTACTTTTCTCTTTTCAGTGATTGTAAGAAGAATTTGGCAGTCTCTGTTCACAGTCTCACAGTTTTTAATCACTTTACTGTGTAATTTATCAGTTTCGGATCAAAAACGGCAGATAAAAGATCCTCTGCAATGTCACGCTTTATTCCAGCCCACGTAAGAAAAATATCCAATCCCTTTTTACCACTTCATGAGCTCCTTTTACTTACAATTGCACCATTCTTGTTAAATTTGTCTGAGTGAGCAACAGTAACAAAGGCAGGCGGAGCTTAGCAAAGGGTCCAATGAGGTTTTAGTGCACTTTTAGAGAAGCAATTTGTCCCTTTGTTCCCCTACGTAATTAAAAAGTGCTTGTGAATTGGATATGATGAAATAGTGATACGACTGAGTGAACCATTACACGGATTACTGAAACCAGACGGTGTCATTTTACAGTATTGCTGTAAGAAAAATGAAAAGAACATTATGCAAACATTAAAATGGTAGCAATGCAAAAAATGCTTCAGAAATCTGTAAACAGAGATAAAAAGGAATTATGTAGAAGGGAAAAAAGGTTCAATCCCAATGGCCACAGAGCATTAAGGCTACAGCCACGAAACACATCAATGACAGCTCTGTCAGGTGCGCTATATTACACGAAGGCATGTTTGCGCCCGGCAGAGATGATTAGCTTCTACATTCCGAGTGGGTGTCAGAAAGTGAGCGAGGCTTCTGTATCAGCACATAATCCTGGGCGTGTGGAAAGTGGGTGTCCAGTGTGCTAGAGGCGGTGGAGTTGTGTTCGCCTGTGTCAGCGTCAACCACTCTGAATGTACTTCTTAATAACCACGCAGCCGTGTCTAAAGAGTGGGCAGGGCAGGCTCTGCTGCAGAGTCCACACGTTGGCACAGGGGTCGAAGGCCTCCATGGTTCCCAGAGCCGGGCCCTCGCTGCTCACAATGCCACCGGTCGCGTAGATCTTCCCATCCAGGACCACCGCACTGGAAAATAAGTTATTTGAGAACTGGTTCAGTTTCTCTCTTTCTTTCTTTGTAAAAATTGATTTTCACTTTGACAAACAAACAGAAATAAAAGAACCAAATAGAACCTGACTGGAGGAAAAACCATAATTAATTAATAATTTAATAATAATAATAACAATAATACAAATCTTAACAATTACAATAGGCTTTCAGCACTTCGTGCTTGAACCCCTAATAATATTTTTAAAACAGTATATTAAAAAAATATATAACAATAATATGAAATATAAAAAGAAAAACACTACTAATAATTAAATAAAGGGGGAAAAAACTAATAAAAAACTAGACAACCCTAAGCTTAACAATAAACTGAAACAAAAAATGTAAAAAAAAAAATCACTCATAAATTGCTCATAAATTACACAAGTAACACATTGGGCTCTATCTTGCACCCGGCGCAAATGACTTTGTACACTGACGCATGTATCATTCCTATTTTGCACCCGCGCAAAGCGGACTTTTCCCTCCACAGACACACGTCGGTTAACTAAAAAAATACACTTGCGCTCCCCGGGGCGGTTCAGCGCAAAGAGGAGGCGTGCTCCGGCGCAAACTTTCCCTCATGCTATTTTAAAACAATTGCGCCACTGACCAGAAAAAAACCTAGTCTAAAGTCAGTGGCGCGTTGCGCGTTGTTCATAATGCTATTTTAAGCGCGCATGCTTGGCCATAATGTAGCGGGTGCACAACGCGCATACACTTTGCTTCTCTCATCAACACAGATGCAGCAGTTTTTATTTTTGCAAATCAAACATTATAACAAGGAAAAATATTAACACATGAGGGAAATCATTGTGGTGTCCATGAAGATGTAAAATTTTTTGTTTTTTTCCTCCCACGCCTGTTTAACCGACGCTGATTTGGGTGGGTTTCTCCCATTCCCATACAACGTCACTTCTCTGTCTTTCACGGTCCTGACAAGAACGTCGGTCTCCTCGGCTGTGAACCGCTCCTGGCGCGTGCCTGGTAAATCCGCTGTTATAATAGCAATCCGCCATGCAACATGCGCACCTGCTCTTAAAGGGAATGTGAGATGACGCTCTGATTGGTTTATTTCTCGTTACGCCCAAACCAAACCTATGAATAATGAAGCTACTTCAGACCAACCCCTTTTAGATTTGGGCCAGGCGCAAGAGGCATTTATCCCGCCGGGAAAATAGCAACAGTGCCGGGATCCGCCCACAAAGTTACTTGCGCTTTGCACTTTGACACTTGCGTTTCAGATCGTTAAAATAGGGCCCTATGAGTTAAATGTGTAATTTTCAAGTAGAAAGACAAATATAGTATTTTCTTGGTAAACATACAACAATAATCTTTGTTTTATTTACAAATTGTAGTCTGTAAACCAATTACAAATTACATGAAAATGATTATAGTTAGTAACATAATCGATCATATTACACATTTTAGGTAATGCATTCTGCCTATTTTTAATTACTTATCACATATATTGGAATAGGATTATTTTGTACCACACTGATATAAAAATACAAAGATAAAGAAAAATATATTCCATTATTTGTTATCAAAAACATAAAGTGCATTAAACATAACATATTGTGTTCCAAATTAGGTTTGTGATGGAACTGCAGGTGGTTTATTAATGAACAGCTAATTAATTAATTACATGATAATGTAAAATGAAAAAAAAAAAAACTTTTAAATTAAAAACAGCAAGCAACAATAAGAAAAAATATTAAAATGTAATTTGTTTACCTGCATGTCATGTAACCAATAACAACTGTGAACGTGAACATTTTCTAAATATTAACTTACAATCTCAAGGGGATTTAAAAAAAAAATGTTTAGGTCAAAGGGGTTCGACTGCCACAAAAACGCATTTGTGTACACTTTGAAGCAGAGAACACAACCAATTGTCAAAACCAAGGGGGATAAATCATGTTAATCTTAATGCAAATTCTTGTTTCTTTGTACAGTTTTAGATGTGGACAGAAGAAAGTGCTAAAATACTCTGGCAGTGTTTGAGTTGTGAATTGGCACCAGAACCGTTTAATTCTCCGTTTGATTCTTGACCCTAGTTATTTGAGAAAAGAATTATGGATTTCTTACCACATACATACGCATAATGATAAAGATTATGTTCCCATTTGCCATCTTATATAAAGGCTTTGCATTGTCAAACTGTTGGATGAGACGAATCATCTACCTACTAATCTTCTCTTGGGCCATATTCATTTCAAGCCCTTGACAGGTTTCAAAATGTTAATGCGGAAACTCATGGGAGTGTGACTGTAACTGACGTGTCGTTTCTGGAAAACATATTTGTATCGCAAATACACAGCAGAAGCGTAAAAGGTGCCTGTGTGTGCTTTGGGGGGACGTGATGCACTAGCGATTGTTCTGAAACTCGTTCGTGCTTTATCTGCTGCTGAGATAATTACTGCCTCTGCTGCGAATACCAATCAGCAGTGAAAGCAAATCGGGCCCAAAGCCCGACCCTGGGGGACACCGAATAAAGACTTAGGAGCAAACAGGGCAGGCTTTTGTGTAAACTGGAACACATCACTTTAACAATGTGCTTTTCTCAGCTTGATCCATCTGCACTTACTTGATGATGGTTGTTAATGCTCATTTTCTTCATTAACATTAGCAGTTATGTGGTGAGAATAGCATTTTTTGGAATATTTGAAAGCAACTGCAACAATTACATGAATATGTTGCTAAATGAATAACGTCAAAAACCATTAAAAATAACTGTCAAAGCACTAAAACCTAAAGACAAATGCGTTTTAGACAGCTGGAGTAAGGTACTGTAAAAAAAGATAATCCCCAGCTAGCTGTGCATTAAATGATTTTAAGCATTTTGAATGTGTAGCACATTAAAATAGTTAAATTCAGTAGCAAAGTTGACAAGTTTCTGTGCTCCTGTTTAGTATGTGCAGCGTGTGACTTGCTACTATGAGGTATTGCAAGGTGTTCATATGAACTATCCTCAACAAGACACGTGACTTAAGGTATAATTCATATCTGTAGTAAACTGTAAAAAAGCAATTACATATTTTCCAGTCTAGGGACCTTTTGACTGAGAAATTGCTTGAAACTATATAAAGACCATGCAACACAACATTTGAGGGAATAATGTTGGTCCAAACTAGGCAAACACTGTTGTGTGAACAAAGAATTTCAAATAAAAAAATATTGCTGAAATGTTGAGGGTTTGTGAGTTTGCTGAACATTTGTTTTAATATTGTTTGATTTGAAATGCTTTGTTCAACACTGAACTGACTTCAGCTGAATAATGACATTATTCTCTTTTTTTAGAGGTTCTTTACAGCAGAATTAAATTCTGTTTGCATCATTGATCAATATTTTCCTGTTTGTTACTGTAAAGCTGCTTTGAAACTATTTGTATTGTATAAAGTACTATATAAATAAATGTGACTTGACTTGTCATTATTACTATATACATTTCAAAATGACAGATAAATGTATTGTCTTACTAGAAAATTTGCAGAACAAGAAATCAGTAGTAATTTATTGGCTGGATGTGGCATTTTGCATTTAGAGAACGAAAAAAATTCAAAATGACAAAACAAAGCAGTACATTTTTAAGACAATAGTTGAGAGACCCTAATCTGAATGCGGTGAATTTTTATGTTTTTTTTTTTTTTTGAACATGAACATCAGTCAAAAATTAAGTAATGCACCCTCCCCCCCAAAAAAAAAAAAAAAAAAAAAAAAAAAAAAATACAGAATAGCACAGATAAAAGGGAAAATAAATAACAATTACACAGATCAATTAGGAGTTAGATCTCAGAGAAGACAATAAATAAACAATGTTTAGACTTTACATGACTAGTAAGTTTACACATAGGTAAAAGAATAGTTTTTCTTCTTTTTTTCTCACTTTTTATAGTGCATTCTCAATTTGGGACAGAAAGGGACCCCACATTTTCATAAACAAATCATGACGTCCCGAGGCTCTATATATCACACGTTCATAACTAGCGATATTTGACATAAGTTCCAACCATTCATCATATGAAGGTGTGTCTGACTTCCAATGTCTCAGAATGACTCTGCATCCCGAAGCCATAGCTAAACGGCACCATAACATCTGTTGTCGAGATATTCGCATATCCTCTGGTATAATACCCAACATACACAAGGCAGGGTTCTTATATAATGACAGGCAAAAAATGTTATTAACAAATTGTACAATTTTCTCCCACATTTCCTCTACCATGTCACATTCATATAACATATGAACCATAGTTCCTATATCTTTGTTACATCGCCAGCATAGTGCAGTATCTCTCAGTTTAATTCTAGCCAATCTGCTTGGAGTCCAGTAGCATCTATTCAAAATTTTGTAATTTATCAACTGGGATTGAATTTCACGAACATTAGTATGCCATTTTGATACAACCTGTTTCCAGGTTTCTTCCTTGATCACCCCCCCTAAATCTCTTTCCCATGCCACTTTAAGACCATTTAAATTAGGTGCATTGACACCTCTAATATAAGCGTAGAAAGCTGAGCCCATCCCCTTTTTGTGACTGTTAGCGGCAGACAGAAGCTGTACATCTGTTGGTGGTTCAAGACCATTTTTAAGGGTTGCATGGAGACAATGTCTTATTTGAAGGTATTTCCAAAAGTCAGTGTTCGATAATTTGTAGGTTTGTTTCAAGTGATTAAATGAGACCACATGTTCACCCTCATACAGGTTATCTAAATACCATATTCCCTTTTTAGCCCACTGCATCCAGCAGAAAGCCCTCCTATCTATTCGTAATTTGGTGTTGTGCCACACCGAGGCTCTAGTTGTTAGCCACGGGGTTTGTTTTGAATGTTGGTGATACAATTTCCAGCTATCCCTAGTAAATTTCAGAACTGGATTTTGGTCTGGTATTGATCGGGCAAGCTGTGTCAAGAAGGCCTCCGCTGGAAAGGGGGCAATTAGTTCTTTTTCAATATGCACCCAGGCGGGGGCTTCGTTGAAAGCCATATTGTTTTTAGCCAGCTGCGAGAGCGAGAAGGACCAATGATACCAGTCAATTCTGGGAAGAGAAAGCCCGCCTGAACCTTTAGCAGAATACAATTTAGTACGATTAAAAAGGGGTTTCTTCCCCTGCCAGATGAAGGACTCTACATATTTATTGTATTCCTTCAGAAGGGATGGTGGCATCCCAAGGGGAAGCATGTATGATAGATAAATGTTTTCTTAATTTCTTTTTAAAAGTGCAAAAGTTCAATACTTAAGTAGTATTAAGTACGAAGAAGTAAGAAGTATAAAAAATAGTAATAGTGACGCACCACTGATCAGGGCAAACTTGTGCAGTAAACCTCTATTCAAAGAACCATGATTCGAACCAAGAATGTTTTTAAGTAGCCATGACTAACTAACTTTTCTTACAGCTGAAAAACTCTCATTCAAGTTTTCTCCAAGGACAGATGATGGTCTGCAGCTTAATTGTCAGACTCATTTGTGGTTAACATGCTGGTTTTACCTGCAGAACTGCCTGGAGTGGTTCATGTTGGGTCCTGCTTTGATGTTCCCTTTCTCGGGGTCGTAGATGGTGGTGGCTCTGGCGTATGCTCCTCCCAGGATGAAGATATATCCATTCAGAGTCACAGCCGGGGCGTATTTGTTATCTGAACAATGGCAAAACAAAACAGAAGTCACCACTAACCCAATTTAAATCCATAAGGTCAGGAACATCCAGCATGCAAATATGCAAACGTGAATGAAATATATATTTTTTTTTTCTCTGGAATAATGTGCACTGATGAATCATTCACAATAAGACCAGAAACACATATTAAAGTAAAAAAGGTTAAATTATTTTATGTTGCTTGAGAAGAATCTCTTGTAAATGCATCACACCACAAATCAACTTATAAACAAAATTACAACGCACATTTTAGAACAGAGACAAGCAATTATTATGGGTTTATTACGTTTCATTCATTGAGAAAGGCACCTGAATAGATTATTAATTTAAACAATACACAAGTATAAGAGTAACAGCTGGGGTCATTCTGTCAACTGTCCAATTGTAAATCAATAGCCCTGTTCAAGCACATTATGTTGGCATGAATGCGGTTAACTTCTTTGATGTAAGTAATCAAGCAGGAGAAAACACATAAATAATTGATGAGTGGCAAATAATTGAATTGAATTCACATTCAACCCAGCAGCTGTGACATCAACCTCAGCCGCTGAAGAGAGACGCGAGAACATTGAGCTAATTAAATCTTGAGCCTTTCAGATTTGGAGTGAGACCTCCCGGGAAGAACAGATATTACGGATAATGTAAAAAAACAGAGAAAGGTGGAGGGAAGGTTAACAAATAATGGTCAGAAATAGCAGCGTGCATGCAGAGCCATGTGCAATGAGCAATACTGAAAACTAAACAAGAGAAATATTTGATCTCACTTAATCTATCAAAGCTAAGCAGTGCCCTAAGTACAAGACAAATACGAGAAGATTACCACAGTTCAAGGGTAAATCTCACAAAAACCTGTTAAGAACCGGTCATGTTTTAGCCCACAATAAAAATAAATCAATAAATAAATTGAAGTTCTTGACATTTATATATATATATATATATATATATATATATATATATATATATACACTCACCGGCCACTTTATTAGGTACACCTGTCCAACTGCTCGTTAACACTTAATTTCTAAGCAGCCAATCACATGGCGGCAACTCAGTGCATTTAGGCATGTAGACATGGTCAAGACAATCTCCTGCAGTTCAAACCGAGCATCAGTATGGGGAAGAAAGGTGATTTGAGTGACTTTGAACGTGGCATGATTGTTGGTGCCAGAAGGGCTGGTCTGAGTATTTCAGAAACTGCTAATCTACTGGGATTTTCACGCACAACCATCTCTAGGGTTTACAGAGAATGGTCCGAAAAAGAAAAAACATCCAGTGAGCGGCAGTTCTGTGGGCGGAAATGCCTTGTTGATGCCAGAGGTCAGAGGAGAATGGCCAGACTGGTTCGAGCTGATAGAAGGGCAACAGTGACTGAAATAACCACTCGTTACAACCGAGGTATGCAGCAAAGCATTTGTGAAGCCACAACACGCACAACCTTGAGGCGGATGGGCTACAACAGCAGAAGACTCCACCGGGTACCCCTCATCTCCACTACAAATAGGAAAAAGAGGCTACAATTTGCAAGAGCTCACCAAAATTGAACAGTTGAAGACTGGAAAAATGTTGCCTGGTCTGATGAGTCTCGATTTCTGTTGAGACATTCAGATGTTAGAGTCAGAATTTGGCGTAAACAGAATGAGAACATGGAACCATCATGCCTTGTTACCACTGTGCAGGCTGGTGGTGGTGGTGTAATGGTGTGGGGGATGTTTTCCTGGCACACTTTAGGCCCCTTAGTGCCAATTGGGCATCGTTTAAATGCCACGGCCTACCTGAGCATTGTTTCTGACCATGTCCATCCCTTTATGGCCACCATGTACCCATCCTCTGATGGCTACTTCCACCATGTCACAAAGCTCTAATCATTTCAAATTGGTTTCTTGAACATGACAATGAGTTCACTGTACTAAAATGGCCTCCACAGTCACCAGATCTCAACCCAATAGAGCATCTTTGGGATGTGGTGGAACGGGAGATTCGCATCATGGATGTGCAGCCGACAAATCTGCGGCAACTGTGTGATGCCATCATGTCAATATGGACCAAACTCCCTGAGGAATGCTTCCAGCACCTTGTTGAATCTATGCCACGAAGAATTGAGGCAGTTCTGAAGGCAAAAGGGGGTCCAACCCGTTACTAGCATGGGGTACCTAATAAAGTGGCCGGTGAGTGTATATATATATATATATATATATATATATATATATATATATATATATATATATATATATATATATATACACATATATATACATATATGTGGATTAACGAGCAGTTGGACAGGTGGTACCTAATAAAGTGGCTGGTGAGAGTGTATATACTATATATATATATATATATATATATATATATATATATATATATGGGGCTTTTGCACCGGGTAGTTCTAGGAACTAGCCACGAGGGTGGCTTCCTAAAAACGAATAGTTCCCCTAGGGCAATTTTCCCGGTTGCATTGGCTCCGCCAGTAGGAACTCTGAAGTGACGTAAGCCGCGCTTGTTGTTGTCATTTTTATTTTGATGGCGCAGCAGACTTTTATTTTGATAGAGCTGAGAACGCCAGAGCTTGAGCACACAGCACTCACATTCTCCATTAGTTTATGATTCTCCACAGTCCTGTCTAATACCTTATTAGATAGAACTGTTAAACAAAGAAAGTAGACAGTATATGAAAAAGTATTAGAGTTTGCCGTGTGGTTAATGCCCAATGTTACTAGCTGAGCAGAAGTACATAATCATGTTTTGCTTGGTCCAAAGTTGTGTTGGATTTTCTCCTTGGCGTAAAGGTTGAGAGGTCCATCTATCAATGTGTTCGTAGAGTTAGTTTGTGGAGTAAATATATAGGCTATAATCAGCCAGTGGCACTGATCCTCAATAAACTCGTCTCCATACCGGCGTGATGATCTGATCCGATCTTTAACCAGATGGAACTGGAAAAATATTCTGAATGTTCCAATCCAATCTGACTTCTGACCTGTAATGCAGCCTGAATCATAATCATACACGGTTCGTTCGTTGGCCAGAGGAGAACTGGCCCCCGACTGAGCCTGGTTTATCCCAAGGTTTTTTCTCCATTCTGCCACCTGATGGAGTTTTGGTTTCTTTTCACCACCGCCTTTGGCTTTTGGCTTGCTTAGTTGGGGACATTAAATATTCAACAATAATATGGATCTGCCTGCATTGACACCATTATATGAGAACTGAACTGAGCTGGACGATGACATCACGGTTTTCTCCAGAGCAGATATATATATCTATATATATATATATATATATATATATATCGCTATTTTCTTCTAGATCTGCTGTACAGCAGAAACAAACTTTGTTGCATTATTTTCCTGTTATCACTGTAAAGCTGCTTTGAAGCAATCTGTATTGTAAAAAGCACTATATAAATAAAGGTGACTTGACAATAACCTGTGTGTGCACAGCTTTTTTTGTTTCAAATGGCGGGTGGTGTTTTGCGTGCGTTCAGCCAATCGGCGTACACTAACGTCACTGGTAGTTCCTATTTTGCTGGGTTAGACCCTACTCTGAAGTAGGAGCTAATTTAGTTCCCCCAAAAGGAGTTCCTAGAACTAAGATCGTTCCTAGTTCCTGCGGTACGAACGCGCCAAAAAACGGGTAATTCCGCCAATAGTTCTTGGAACTATGAAACTTTTCACTCCGGTGTGAAAGCCCCTATATATGCACATACATTTACCGGCCACTTTATTAGCTGTATTCAACTGCTTAGTAACTCAAATATATAATCAGCCAATCACATGCATTTAGGCATTGTCAAGACAGTCTGCTAATGTTCTGAACTGAGCATCAGAATGGAGAAGAAAGGTGATTTAAGTGACTTTGAAGGTGGCATTGTTGGTCTTCTGGGTTTTTCACGCACAACTATTTCTAGGTTCTGCAGAGAATAGTCAGAAAGAGAAATTATAGAGTGAGCAGCAGTTCTGTGGTCGAAAATGCCTTGTTGATGCCAGAGGTCAGAGAAGAATGGCCAGACTGGTTCAAGCAGATAGAAAGGCAACAGTAACTCAAATAATGCATTTGTTACACTGGGCAGAGCATCTCTGAACCTTGAATCAGATGGGCAACAGATAAAGGTCACACAGAGTGTCACTCCTGCCAGCTGAGAACAGGAAACTGAGGCTACAATTCACACCGCCTCACCAAGATTGGACAATAGAAGACTGGAGAAGCGCTGGCTGGTCTGATGAGTCTTGATTTCTGCTGCAACATTCAGATGATAGGGTTAAAATTTGGTGTAAACATGAAAACATGGATCCATCCTTCCTTGTATCACTAGTTCAGGCTACTGTTGGTGTAATGGTGTGGGGGATGTTTTCTTGGCCCCTTAGTACCAATTGAGTATCGTTTAAACGCCACAGCCTAGCTGAATATGACCGCAGTGTACTTCCAGCAGAATAACGTGCCATGTCACAAAGCTCATACCATCTCAAACTGGTTTCTTGAACATGACAATGAATCGACTATACTCAAATGACACAGTCACCAGATCTCATTCCAATAGAGTACCTTTTGGATGTGGTGGAACAGGAGATTTGCATGTGCAGCTGACAAATCTGCAGCAGTTGATGCTATCATGTCAAAATGGACCAAAATCTCTGAGAAATGTTTCTAGCACCTTGCTAAATCTATGCCACAAAGAATTAAGGCAGTTATGAAGGCAAAAGGGGATCCAACCCGGTATTAGCAAGGTGCACCAAATAAAGGGGCCAGCAGTTAACTTTTAAACCGGATTAAATGTGACCAAGAGATGTTTTCATGAGATTCTTTTCAGTCTTTCTTGATTTAATCTCCTTTTGGCATCCAGCTCTCCGCCTGACCGCACATATTTGAGAATGGTTTTCAGCAACCCCCCCATCACAGTGTGTGCATGTGTGTTCAACTCTCGTCTGCTGTCTCCTGCTGGGCATTGAAGTGTCAATCTGCCATCCTCAGTTATGTGGCACAACTACT